TCACTGCAGTACATCACTGTAGCTCACTAGTGCAGCATGTCACTGCAGTACATCACTGTAGCTCACTAGTGCAGCATGTCACTGCAGTACATCACTGTAGCTCAATAGTGCAGCATGTTACCTCACAATATTTTACATCGAATCCGCATCACATATTTCAGCCTGATTCTTCTGGTTTATTGAATGTTATGTGTGTCATTTTGTTACAAAGTCGTGTATTATATATAACACTGTATATTTTATAGGCATTTGAAGTGTAGTGGCATTGCATAACATAGTTCATTATAGAAACTGAGACGTTCTGTAACAAACAATATAATGTATTATCATAATATTACTGTATTATTAACATAACAGTAAAAGACAGGTACAGGGTGCACAAGGTGATGCTTTCTGACTGCAGAACCATCAATGCCATATTTATCAGCTTAAGGGAATGCATAAATGAGCAGGCAGCTAACGCCCTGCGCGGGGATCCCCAGAGGGGAATCCCCACGTGGCGTGTTGCCGTGTCAGCTTGGCCACCTGTGTCTCACCGCTGCAGGAATGGGAGAAGAAGTCAACAACCTAGAGACCAGATGACGGTCCCTCCCCAGGCTGAGGGCAGAGAACAAAACTCCACCCTCTGTTCTCCTGAAGACTGGAGGGCGTCCCGGAGACTGCCCTGACTCCTCGCAGTGTCACTGCTCTGACTCCTCGCAGTGTCACTGCCCTCACCCCATCCCCCACCCCCGTCATGGACAGAAATCTCTGCTTCACACACATTCCCAGGCCCTGTACTACGTTGTAGAATATTCCACCTTTAGTCTTATTTTTATTATTAGAAGGGATTTTATAGTATTGTTTTAAAAAACGTTTTTATGCTTTGCACATTGCAGATTGGTTGGGCTTTACTGATCTGGCAGAATGAAAAGTACCACCCAGATCTTTTGCCCCAAGGTACCCCCCAGAAAACCAGCAGCTTGGTACAATTGGCGCTGAACACTGAGGACACCTAGTGGGTGGTGCTGGGCTTGCAGGCAGAATGTAAATACACAGTAGAGCCACTTGAAGCGTAAGCATTGCCACAGAGGGGCACTTCAGGCGGAAGCGTAGAGTAGAAACACGCCAGTGTCATTGTCTCTCCTACTCTGAGCAGCCATGTCTGATCTGCTTTTCTAAATAAAAGAATATTTTTAAAATATATGGACTAATATATGGAATATCCCCCATGCTAAATCCAGGACACCAGTACATCTCATGTCTGCTGTGTATTCAGCTTTCAAGTGGGAGAAGACTGTAGTTGTACAGCTCACCACCAGGGGGCAGTCTGTAGGTCCCACTCCCTAGCAATAAAGGCACTGCTATACAGATGCTTCACTCGATGAGCTAAAATGAGTAAATGCAGTAAATGAGTAAACGAGTACCTGCTAACAGCCAAGAGTCCAAAACAATCGCATCTCTGGAAAGCAAGGAACTTTAATGTGCATACAGAGGAAGGCTACAGTGGTTAAGCACAGAATAAATACGTAAGAGTACACAGCACCGATGTGAGAAGCGGGAGGTGGACCCCAGGCAGCCAATCAGCACCCAGCGCAGGCAGGTAATGGGCAAATGCAGCCGCTGAAGATGGAAGAGGGGCACAACTGTCCCAATGGCCAGGAAAGACAGAGCTGTGACCCCCGTGGCAATGGCGAGTGCTTCCAGCTCGGTGCCTTCAGTCCTGCGAGGCTCTACGCCTCCTAGCGTGCCGTTGGATGTGCCTTTTCCTTTGGGATCGTCTGAGCCCTGCAGGACGGGGGAGGTCACCCCGTTTCGGGGGCCGCATGGAACCTGCAGAGGGCACAGGCACACACTCGGGTCACACTCATAACTCAACACTGCTACCTGGCTGTAAACCCCCTGCACTGCATCAGCATGGATGCTGAAAGACAGTTACGCTAAACCTCAGCAGTCCCCAGTCACAGGGGTGGGGTAACTCATGACTTTCGCAGTGCGGCCCCTCCCAGCCCCAGACAGGCGGGTGGGGGTACTCACGACTCTCGCAGTACGGCCCCTCCCAGCCCCAGACAGGCGGGTGGGGGTACTCACGACTCTCGCAGTACGGCCCCT